GTGTGAATCCGACAAACCAAGTTGGCTCACAGTTTTTCAATGTTCATGTCGAAAAGACGTTATATATTGCCAGTCACGGTCGATTTAAATTACTTTAATTGTTATTCTATATACTGGCGAAAGAAATTTATTATTCTGTTTATTAAATCATCACTTAATTCACGAGCATCTTCCCTCACGCGAGAAATCGCTTTACACAAGATGTTTCTTCGCTATGCCACGTCATTGGAAACCTATCTATGATCTGACGGCAATAGACAACACGATCTACAGTTGCGGTGGCGATAATACGGTCAACTCGTGGGGGCTGACTAACACCGATCTTGTCCATCAGGGAACTTACTATTTGTACGTAATAGCAGAACTGTTGCTTTTGGCCGCTTCGCGATAAGAAGATTGAGTGAGGAAGATATTTCCTGTTTGTGGGAGAAATAATCGTTTCCCACCAAATTATTCGAATGTATATAGTGCATTCCGTGTCTCTCGCTTGTTGAAACAGATAATTCGAAAACGCAATTCTAAAGTTTACTTGTCAAATTTAATTCACTGCATATTACTATTTTACTCGCATTTTTTCCCATCAATATCAAATATTCCAGGAGCGTGAAGGTAACTCCGTACTTGTTGAATTATGAGTTTTCTTTTAACCGTACCATATTCAAATATTCAAGTTTTGAACTATAAAATTGTGCTAATTTTTGTTGCAAATACAAAAACAATATTTTGAACCGTATTCAAAGAAATTTAAAAAAACAAAATTTTGTTAGCCTTGTACTATTTCTCGATTGAGTTCTGTTTTTCTCCACCCTTTTTGCTGAATTTTTTACACACCATTGATTTTTCCGTACTTGTTTCGCTTGTCGCTTGGTTGTTTTGTTTAGCACAACTCAATTTACAAAACGTGATTATCTATCATGGTTCGGATAATATGGGATTTTTAATTTTTCTATTCCTAAAACCTAAGTTCCTAAAGGCCCTCGCACAATGAAAGATATAAGGAACAAGGAACAGATATTAGCGATTAGAAATAAGAAATCAGGAATAAAGCTGGTGTAGCATTAATACGCGGCTTCCGATAGGTTAAAAATATATTGCTTGTGTTATTCACTGTTTCTGTTGCCTGTATTTTTCATCGTGCATCCAACTAATCGGAAACTAGTGCGGTGCTATAAAAAAAATTTTTAATACAGTATAAAGTATTGCTATCGTATTCGGGCAAAAATTAGTTCAATTGTAGTCTAATACGGCGGAGTTAAAAAATACTCAAAATTTAACAAGTACGGGGGCTAACAAATATTTCGTTCTCTGTTATTTTCTAAAATATGCGCTAAGCTATCGAGATGAGCTTTTGCCACAAAACGACATAAATTTAGAACAATATGTAGCACACAATAGATGAAAATATAAAATTCCAAAAGTGCCGGGTTTTTTTCACAGACGGAGGAGCGACAATTTCCATTCGTTTTTATGGTGTATATCATCGTGCCCGGAGGATAATCTCTTTGCGACCGGCTCATCCTGCGGGACTATATACGTGTTCGACTCAAGATCGAGAAATAACCCGATCAGACATTATCGACCTCACACTAAGCCCGTGAATAGCCTGGCCATGAACACGGAATACATTCTGTCCGCCACCGCTAACGACTACACGATGTCCATTTGGGATCAGAGAGCCGGACGGACCATGAAGTCTATCACAGTAACGTCAATTTTTAACATCGAGAAACGAGACACGATGTCGAAGGTGTACTTTTTAGTTTCCAGGTGAAACAACGCGCACCACGTGTATAAATATGCGACGAGATTTGGTTTTCGTTGGAACCAGAACAAGGTACGCATACTTTTCGACGTTGCACGTGCTAAATCCAAAGGACGATTTCAACCTAGTGAAATCTTATCCCACCGAGCATACGAGAGATATAACGGGGATACGTCTGACGCACAGATGCTTGATAACGAGTTCCACCGACAATATTGTCAGAATTTCGAGCCTTACGGATCCGCCAAAGCCCATCGCTACTTTACGTTCAGGGATCGAACATATCAACAATGTGCGAGTATCGCACGTATAAGATTTGCTGAAAATACCGTATCATTGACTTTGAAGAAAAAATTCGTTATACATCAACGTGTAAAATAAAAAAATACAGTTTAATAATTAAATTTTTACTTACATTTAAACTTTGAAATCAGATTTTATCGTTGTCTTCCGAATGTAAGTAAAATCCTTAAAATTGGCAACATTCTTACAAGTCTTATCTTGCAATATCGTGAATTTTGTTGAATATTGTAATTGTAATTGTTCGTGTGTTTTATGTTGCAGATGGACTATCTGAATGACACTCTCGCAGTATCCGGCTACTCAGGTGTCGAGGTATGGTACCCGAAATTGACGTGTTCAACGAAACAATAAACGACAAATTTATATACGTGATCTATAGCTATTTTATGTTGAGAAAAATAATAGAAAACATTTTTATACTATAGTTAAGTGCCATAACCATTTAAATATATTTTATAAATTGCATTATCGCATATCGTATATCATATCATTGTTTGTCATTTTACAAATTTTTCTGGCAAGGTGCATTATATTTTGCAATTAATATTATTCGTTTCCTCCGCGTGAGACTGCCCATGCAGCACACATACTTGTCCAAAAGTGGAACATAAGACGTCTAAAAAGACGTCTAAAAAACGTCTTATGTCCCGATTTTGGACATGTTGCTGTCTGGGAGTGCGCCTACAGACTCGAAAAGCGGCGCCGTCTAGAGATTTTTCCCATACCGGACGTCTGTTTATAACATTTATAAACGATAGTATAAGTTTATTCGAGTAATATATAACATTCCCTATCCTTTTTCGACCTATCTTTTTTCAAGGTTGTCGAGAATCGTAGATCCCGTGAACGCGAGACGGAGTTTAAACTCTCCATGACGTCACGTGACGCATTACGTCACGTGACGTAATTCAAGCGATTTCACGATTGGCGATTAGTTTTTTTGTACCTCGCCTCGCGACAGTCGCGACGACGAGGCGCGTTGACAGTCACATTTGTTTTGCGCGAACGAAGAAGCAGGTGCCAGGTGCCCCAAAACTTGCACGTCGCACATATGCGCGAGGCAACGTTGTCGCGGCCGCGTGCATATCACGCCGTATCATTCGTGCGTTCGTCTTGCTTCGTGTGCTCATCCGAGAGAGCGAGCCGAGTTCGCAACCGCGTGCGAAGAGGTTAGTGCTCGCGTTCGCGACGGTCGGACGGACGGTGTCAAGTTCGTGTCGGTAAACGCGAGAATCTCTCGCGGCAAGCGCGTTCGAGGATTGAGGAACGCGACAGGATTTCGAATCTTCGTGGGAAGCAATAGAGGACGAAATAATTAAATTAAGAGGACAAAGTGCCGGGTAAGAGAGCGGTTTTTTCGTGGTCCAACGAAGCCAATTGTTGAAACTCCTGATTGAACTCGCGGCTCGCGGCATTTTGGCGGGATAGTGCGGTAAGTCGAATATTTTGAAACTCAGAATTCAGATTACAGCTGTGAAAATCTTAAACATTATAAAAAGTGCATATATTATTATATATTTAATATGTAGTTATATAATATATTAATTGAATATATCTATATAACTTTTTTTATTAAATTAAGAAATGTTACATATGTATATAAATTAAATTACATATTTAATTAATATAATTAAATATTAAATATACTCAAATATATGACAAATGAAAAGTGAGATGTATAAATGTAACGACAAAAATTTTTAAAATTATAAAAATTATATATATTATTATATAATTCAAATGAAAGTAGAAAGAGCTACGAACCGAGTTAGAAATTTGATTTTTCTTTTATTTCATTTTTAATCCGTTAAATTCTTGATGAAATTTTAATTTAATTTATTATTATTATATATTCAATATTTAATATGTGTATATAATTATATATTATGTTAATTGAATCACATGATACATATAATTTTTATTTCTCATTAAAATAAAAATTGTTATATATATAAATTAAATTAAATTTTGAGTTAGTTATTAAATTTAATACACTCAGAGACTCGACAAATGAAAGATATATAAACGTATAGTATGAAAATTAAATACACGTAATATAAAAATAAAAGTGCTGATGCAATTACAAAAGGGGAAGGGAAGTGGGACAGAAATGTGAGATCTCATAAAGGTAAAATTAACAAATCTGTAATATTGGCTTTTGATTCACCCGTTTATTCACGCAAAACAAGAATAGACTTGGATATCCGTGTCGTTAATCGTACTCATTGTACACATCTCTGTCCATATACATACAATATCGCGCGTCATACGCATCCGCACGAAATGCATATACGAAATGCGGTGTATACACATTACATATTATATGTATATATAATATAATTTTATTTTAATTGGATAGGATACGATTCCTCAGCCCTTTCTCATCTTCGTTCTCAAATTTAATCGCGTGTAATGTATTGTGAATATGCATGTGTGTATGTATATATATATACGCACACACATACATGAGTATTTCCCCTATGTATCTCCGGACGCGTGTATTACACCCGTCCCCTGTTTTTGCGTGTATTTGTGCAGTCGCGTGCTGCGCAGATAAAAATATCCCACGCGCGGGTCGTTACCGTCGTTTGTAAACGTGAACAAAAACTGTTCAGCGAAAGTCGGGGTGTCTCGTAAAAGTTGTACACATATCGTCACGTGTCGGGTTCATTCATATCGGAAGGAAAAAGAACTACAAAAAAAAGAGAAAGAACAAGAAGACGCTGAAAGGAAAAACGTATCCGCACAGTCGTACACGCACGCACGCACGCACGCACGCGTGCTTTCCCGCGCATGATCGCAACTTGCAATTCGCATCGACAGGTGTCAAATGGGAAATGACGGATTAAATCGGTTCGCAAACAAATCCACGAGCCTGTTTCGTCGGTTTCGACGACGTTTGCTCTCGCGAAGATTGCTAGCGTTCGTGCGTATCTCATCCTTTTGGAGATTTTTTTATTTTACGACTCTGGACACAATATTTATGGATACGAATACATCTGCCGAGAGGCGCGAAAAGATATCCGTGAGATTGTGAGAAAGATTCTTGCGAAGAGACAGCAGGACAAGTATTTCTGCGCGACATGTTCACATGTGCGATACCGTTTTTCAGTTTTTCATCAAACATACCGATGCAATTGTGACGTTAAAAAGTTCCACCTGTCGACGCTGCTGCACACAATTGCGCGCGTCATTCGGACGATGCTTTGACATAAATAAAAACGCTGATTTTCTAATGCGTCGAAAAACGCGCGTGCTCGAGTATCGGCTTCGGAGAAAACACTTCGAAGGCCATGAGTCAAACTTGTGAATCTGATATCTTACACAAATGACGTAAAGTCCGTGGAAAGTAAAAAAAAAAAAAAAGAATAATGCAAAGTGCAACGTTGCTTAGATAACATATGCTGATTCTATATAAAATAATATGAACACGTCTCGATCTTTCTCTCTGCCGAAACTTTTGACATAAATATTACGATATTGTTAACGCAGCCTTTTCCTTCGCGACAAATGAATGTAAAATGAATGCAAGCGAATGAATGTAAAATAAGTGGAATGTATGACGGAGCAGTTATACAAATTTGAGCCTTGCCTTTCGAAGACCGAGTTCTCGAAGACCGTACCTGACGATCGCAGAGACGGAATGATTTCAATACTGATTTTGGAATGGTTCGTAATTCTCTCGGTTAGAATGGCAATAAGATGTCGCGAGGCACGGCGGGATTTTCTTAGGACGTGTCCTCGAAATCAAGAAACAACCAGAGGAACCAGAATCTTCGGACTTTTAGGGCCGGTTTCATTAATTGGTCTAAATATTCGTTCGATCAATTTCTCTATCTCTCGAAAACAAAATTGAAAAACTATAAACTTCATAATATCATCGCCAACTCGATGTTTATTCTCACCCGATCAAGTTAGACTGAAATCGAAGTTGGTTAACAAAACCGACTCTTTCAAATTTTAACAATTCCATCAGCCGAGCTGTTTCAAAATTCGTCCCGTTCATTGGTATCCCGCGAGACCGATTTCCCGTGCCGTTCTTTTGTGTTCGTCTTGGTGTTCTTCATTGAGGACGCGAGTGGTCCCTGGTCGGACTGACTTTCCCCCGGGATTAGTTTGCATATCGTACACTCGAGCAATCATCCAATTGGACGTGGCTTTGAGGACGCGCGTCCTACCCCGCCGCCCTCGCGAACACCGCTCCCTCGGTTAGGTACGCGCGCTAATACTTTTGCTACATGTCGCTTATACGTAACTTAAGAACGTGAAAAAATAAATAAATACTACGCGTTTCGTGCGCGACTCCGTCCGCGGGCCGCCGGACGGGCACGGGGGAAGACGCTCTCCATCGCGATGCTCGCGATGTCGCTCGTAAATAAATTAAATAACAGGAAGACCTCTTTCTGCCTGTCTCTGTCTCTTTGACGAAGCTTTTGAGAGTGTTTCACGCGTGCAGCGTGCACGCGCGTATTCGAATCGCGTGCAGTAATTGAATACCGCTGAACATTGCCAACGTCTCTTCCACCGTGCCGCCCAGTGCGTTCATCCCGACGAAAACGTCGTCATATAAATTGCAATAATAACAACAATAATTCTACTATGACATAATATAATAATAATAATAATAATAGTAGTAATAATAATAATAATAATAATAATGCGGTTGGTCTGAGCGACCAATGGACCTTCGATCTATTTTGCTTAATTTGCTTTAAAATACTTAGCCGAATAAAAAAATCTTTCCTTTCGAATATTCGCCAAATTCCCGCGTTTATTTTTAATTGTTTTCCGTATGCCTTAGAGGCGTTAATATGTATATATCTGTGTTACGCGATGTACTAACTACCGGCATTCTCTTCGTCCTGTCGCGCGCACGTTCTCTATAAACGACTAAAGGCTCAATCGTTAACTAAACAACAAACGGATGAAGAATGGCGATAATAATAAAAATATAATCGTGACGTAAAAATATTCGAATAATAATATAATAATAATAATATAGATTACCGTTATTACTACATAGTGATGAATGATGACGATTAATAATTATCAAATAAAAACGAGTGGCGTGGTGCGCGAGAGCGCAGATATTTTATCGACTAGAATTCGTATGGATGTGAGATTCGCTGTGTGTATATGTGTGTGTTTATTTGTATGGCGCAATCGTACCGTTTCGCTCCCCCGTGGCTCGTTATTTAGTGTATTATTGTGTAACTTCATTCTTCATCGTGTCAAGCAACGACGCGACTCACCGCGAAGAGGATCGCCGGTCTCCCTTCCGGTCTCCCTCCGAATTCTCTCAATTGTACTCTCATCGCACCGCGAGTACTCGCCGATATTAGAACAGAACGACGTTTTACGATATCCCTCACCTACACCGCGGCTTGGACACCGAAATCACGTCTCGAGTCGACAGACAAATCGCACGTGTCAGATGCGACCGCGAATTTTCCTCATCCACGAGTCTTTTTCAACCTCATGAACGTTATAAGTACCGTATCGTTCTCCAGGTCATCCGCAATCAGACAATCTTAGGATGAAACTATCCGGAATCCGGAGATCGACACGCGCGGCTCGGTCGGGACGTTCACCGTTCTCCAACGCGACATCCGAATCATCTCTCTCGTCCGTTCTCTCTTCAGGTGATGAATGGTATATCTTGTTAGATGTAAATTAAATCTTGTAAAGCCGCAGACTCCTCGAAGTTCGCGGAACGACGACGATCAACGCGTCGAAGCCCTCCTCTTCGTTCTCCTTGTAGTCCTTTTCGAGACCGCGTTCTGCATCGATCTCCTTCTTGGTCTTACGTATGTGATCGTGTATGCGCGCGCGTGTTTTTATGTTTGCATGTGTGTGTGTGTGCGTGTGTGTATGAGAGCGTGTGTACCGTGTGATGTGTCTCCTTCGTGGTGCGGCGCGTCGTTGCTCCGACCATGTCCCGTTTACTTCTTGCGACCTAGGTACTCGACCATCTCCTGAAACCTTTCCTTCTCGTCCTCAAGCAGCAGCGCCTGGATGCAGCTCGTGAAGTATTGTGTGCTGAAGCAGTCTTGCCTGCGGCGGGGACAAAGATCGGGAACAGAAAGATCGATTAGTCCACTGATGAATAACGAGTAATCACTGAAGCTTGGTTATCGGGCGTGATGCGTTATCAGACCTGTTCGCAATTGTTCCGATGGATTTATAAATAGGACAAAAACTTTCGTGGACGATAAAATATCACAAATTAATTTAAATTTTTTATTGGAATTTTGATGTAGATTCAGTACATATCTTTATTTATAAATTTTGAAAGCCAATTTTAGAATTTTTTACAATATATTCGCAAGCTGCATTTCGAACAAATGCTTGAAAATTTTATGTGCAGTATCAATTTTATTGATACGCATATTCAGGCAAACAGGTCTGTGAGTTAATAATTGTTAGTGCTTAGGCATCGGGACATGTGTGGGAAGGTATCGATTGTTTCGCACTCTACATCAAGAGTTTATACATCACGGGTAGAGTGCGAATTGTTTCGCTTTAAAAAATTACAAAAATGTTCAAAAATGTCAAACAGTGAAAAATCGCAGAAATCGCCACCTAAAAAAAAAAAATATTTCTATGTCGATCTGCCACCTCATCATCGTCCTGAAAAAAAATGATGCTGCAAAAACATCGACGAGGAGCAAAAATTGATAAAAATGTTGCTGCAAAAACAGTCGTTCGTAAACTTGCTGTTAAAAACAGTCGAAAAATCGTTGTCCCCCAAAAAGGCAAAAAATACGTGGATAATGTGAAGTCAGAATGTACGAGATGATGCTATATATCACTTTGCCAGCGATGCTGCATTTTGTCAAACTAAATTACAAACAAATAACAAAATGGACATGTATTCATATTTCGTATTAATTGTCCAAGATTTTAATAGAGCTCGCTAATTTCTAAAACAGATGCGAGGTTTTCTTATAATTTAGATTACGATCAATTCCAACACTTCGTTCTTTTCTATTACAGCATTGCTCGCAAGTATAAGATCTCTTTCTTTCTTTTTTTCTCTCTTGCATAAAATTACCTAATGTCTCATACTCATTATCTCGGTGCGAAGATACTATAATACGCGTGGATATTCGTCCAGGGGATGGTGTCAAAATGCAACGAAAATATAATTGAAATGGCAAAGGGAATAACAAATGTATTAAAGTAAGGCATAAGTAGAAACTCAGTCAACCCCGCGATATGTAATTCTTGTTCACAACTTCAATCTCTCCTATACAAACTATTTATACATTCGATAATGCGTTTAAATCGGAGAACACGTTATTTAATTACGTTATTAGATCGTCGCTTATGATCAATTTTTGAAGCATTTGCATGTGGTTTCTGATCCAAACACCGCTGCGAATGATGAAGCACAACTCGACCGCTTAATTATGCAATCACGATTTTTATACGTTCGTCATTACTCGCATCGTGTAATCGAAAAAACGCGTCGATTTTTTTCAGCGAACTTAGCATTGCAAATATTACAAGATGTTTACGTACATTCGACATACGCAAAGATTGCGTGAACAAATCGGAGTTTCCGACGGGTGGACGTATATCGGGACGAAAGCAGACGAGGAAGGATAATGGGAGAGCAAGCGGACACAGTTAGTTCTTTATATTTGCGAAAAGCGGAGAGAAAAGAAAGGGGCATATAAAAGGAGAAATCATAAACTAAAAAGAAAAGGCTACCTAAACCCCGGGATCAGCTCCATGGAGTTGCTTGATCCACATTTGGATCTTTCCGACCTCGTCCGTTAGCAGCAGGACGTCTAAGCATCCTTTGAAGTAGTCCGTGGTGAAACATTCCTTCCTGCAGAGAGTTAAAGAAAAACAAAATGAATTACGTCACGTTAACACAAATTGCATTCGTAGACAGTGTGCTCGTAGCTCGAAAATCCTGAAAAACACCTCGCATAGACACAGAATAAATCCATTCCTATAATTGCTTTACAATTAGAGTGTTATTATACGATTAATAAACTCTTTGCGAGTAAGGTAGATGCATCGACCACACATAAATAATTTAAGACTCAGAATTTCAAGATTTTCTACAACGTTGAAATACTTAACAAATTTCGCACATAATAATTTTAGTGTTAGATAATAATAACTTTAACATAATTTTCATTATTAATTCTCTTCCTTGCACCTTTCTGATTATTCCACTAACATTCTTTAAGCGGTGGTTGACCGATGCATCTGCCCTTTCTCGTCATTTCATTTCTCGGCAAATTTTTCCTAAATTTAGCGCTACGCGCCGTTATGTGCATTCGAGCTCTAGCCCGTCAATCCGTCCCTTTTTCACGTTGATCCCGCTCGCTCTCGTCACACAATAGCTCTTTTGAGACGGCCGTTAAGCGGCTTAACGCGGCTCGGCACAAACGGCAGGTAGCAGCGGATGTGCGTTGGTATTCGCTCGCACGAGCTATAAATAGAAGAGAAATCTCATTCCATTTCGATACGCGTGCCGACGTATGGCAAACGCGCGCACGTGTATGAATGTGTGTGTGTGTGTTGTGTGTGGCGGTACCGAGAGCGGAGCACGTGTGCACCGCAAAGGTATACACAAAGGTACATATCCGTGCGTCCACCTTGGCCGTTGTTCACCGCCGACATTTTTCAAGGTAGAAATCACGCGGCGGAAGTCGTTCGCGAAATCGGTTCGTCACCAGTACTCGGAAGATTTTTCTCCGGTTAGTGCCATCGCGACTTTTGCCGGAAATAGTCAGCTCGTGAGATAAGACTTGTATATCATGTATAGGATGAAATCGATCTGGGGAGACTTTATCCAATTTTTTTCCTTCACATTTGTTTCAGCAGAATCCCTCGATTAAACGTAAAATATGCATTCACTAACTTCTTCGAGATCGTTGAACTTTTGTTGATGTTAAAAAAAACGAATATGCGTTTCCAACTCTCAAATCGAGCTTACGAGTTAATCACAAAAAAATTGACATGGAAATTATTAATAAATTTCGAAAAATAAATTGCTCTAAATATTTTAAATAAAATAATTCCATATTTAAAGATTAGACAATGATTGTCACTACTAACATATATTATTAAATGTGATAAGTAAAATAATAGTAAAAATATAAAAAAAAGTTTTTGAAGTACATCCATATGAATATTGTATCAAGTGTTTCTTTAGTATAAAGTCAAGACACGGATTAGAATATCTTAGCAGTTTATTTCTCGCGAGTAGAAACGACAAACTGAAATTATCATCTAGCCTCATTCATCCGCCCCAATTAATTTCAAACAGATTAAAAATATTCATTGCATCTAACTGATAGCTCACAAATTCCTCCTTATGTAAATCATCGTATTTCTATCAATCGCGTCATCGCAAACGATTGCGAATATCTCATCTTCTATTGACTTTACGTTCCAAATCGCTACGTAACAACGGCATAACAGCAGCAGCACCCGCGCGGTCTCCGACTGCCGACCGTCGATCCGCGAAAGTATCTAGTCATTGCGGATAATTAAACGTACTTGCAAAGCATGTGCAATTGCGGTTCCCGGAAGAGATTGTAGCAGTCCTCGCAGATGCGGTCCAGACGGGCGAAGATGCTCTTGTCGTACACGCCCTTGCACTGGATGTCGAAGAACGACCTTTTGCCCAGGAAATGGCCGTTAAGGGTTGCGGCGTCCGCGCCCAGCCCGATGCAGGACGAGATTAACAGCAGCGTCAACGACCACGTGAGAACGGACACCAGCAAGGAACAGGACGATCTCGCGGACGACGACCTCGACGACGACGAGGTCGACGTCGACGTCGACGTTGACGACAGTAGCGTCGAACACGAGGAATGATACGCGGCCGATGGATACATCGCGAAATCGTCGTTGGATGATGATTGGGTAGTCTGCTGCTGATGCATCATCTGCAAAAGAAAGACGCATAAATCAAACTCATTAGATTAAAGTCTTTTTTTTTCTAAATGCGATATTTAAAAATGAGATGTTGCATGTCACGTTGGAAGAATTTTTGATTATAGATTTGATAAGATATTGTATCTTTTGCAAAAATGGAATACAAATGTTCTTGGATTCGTTAACTTGATAAAAATGTTACCTCTATTTGGATTAAAGTATTTTATACTCGTTACGAATCAACACGTGTTACTAGCTACTGACTAAGATACAGCAGAAAGAGGTTTTCACGTCAATTACAACTTGCTTACTGGCGCCAGTTACCAATAATTTGATATTTATAGAAACCGCGTTATTTGCTTCTATATACACCTATATCCGGATTATTTGGATGATTGATAGATCTAATTGGAAAAATGTACGTTCGTTATTTTATATACGTTATTTTTATATATTTACGCTTACATGACTCATCACTATTGGAAGAGTTATATTTATTATACGGAATCAGGCACAATTAATATCCGAAAGGTTAAATTGTAGGTATGATCAATATTGGCCGGTAACGTTTTATCACGAGTATAATACCATATTCGAGCGATTATTTTTTTTATTAATCCCCAGATGATGGCATTTAATTTGTGCAGCTATTATTAAAAGAAAAGAATTTTGTACCGTATATATAATGTTGATTAAATTAACACATTTTTCATATATTACTTTCCAGATAGATGAGGTTGTTATAAACTTATTAAAGTTAATTGAAGTTAATGAACGCGACTAATTAAAAGTTAATTCATATTTTCGCTGATAAAAGACTAGACTAGAAGATGCGATAAGCGACGTAATTAAATTGACACGATGATGACGTGGCAACGAAAGCATGAGAAATATTCACACGCTATTACAAGTGTATCCTAAATACCTTTCGCGCGGTTGGAATTATTTTCTCGCGATTTGCATACCAAGAATGCATATATAGCACCAAGAATGCATAATATAGTCTCGTCATTTCCGACTCTTTTTGACGATTGATGCGTTCGCAGCGAAAGTAGATATTGATCTTAATGAAATAAAGTCGGCGCTTTTTGTTGCGGCCTTCTTTCCAAAGGATGAATGGATCTAAAATTGGACCCTACAAACGCCAGAGGGCCCGATTTTAAGGGCTAGATCCATTCATCCTTTGGAAAGGAGGCCGCAACTAAAAGCGCCGACTTTATTTCATTAAGATCAATATCTATTTTCGCTGATCTATTCATCTTTTGGAAAGGAGGTAATAAATTGTCGAGCGGATTAGTCCACCGCGCGTGCTCTTTAGGGTTTTTATATAGCTTTTTCAAGGAATTCTTCTCTATTCCTTTCCTATATATTCTTCAATTATATTTTTCTCGACTAGACCAAACCGACACACTTGGTCGAAAAGTACCTTTCAAAGTGAGATCTTTAAAAATACGACCCTCGAGAGAGAGAAACCGGAGGTTCGACTTCGCGATACCACGTCGTCGGCACGACCGTATATGTAACGACGGACATACGCGTGCGTTCGGGTATACCAATATACCCCATCACCTTCTCGCTCTCCTCTTCCTCTCTTCTTCCTCCTTCTCCTCCGATTGACTGGCCGGCCGGCCGGCCGGCCCAACCTGCACACACATACACACAGGCTGAGATGTAAAGCAACTCTTAACCAGTCCTGCAGCAGTCGCTGTGAATGGACCACACGCAGGTAGGCTCTACCTGTAAACGTCCTCAACCGACAACTTCATTAACTGAGGCCCCAGCGCATGATCCACCACGAAGGGAGGGTGGGGGGAGGACCCCTCCTTTCTCACTCTCTTTCTTTTCGCCTCCTCCCTTCTCCTGCGCCTCTCTTTTTCCCTCCTCGTCCGTATCATCGTAACATCCGCGGCTCGTCCCACCTCTCTCATCCCACCCGCCACCTGCACACACGAGAGCGAGCGTTTCGCCCGGTTCTTCTTTTTTCGGAACATAATCACCGCTCCCGGGTGGGATCTTATTTTTAGCCGCCAGGACGATTCTCGGAACTCTCCGGCAACCGCTCTCCTCTATATATCGGCGCCTCCACCTGGTAATTGGCCGCAGGCCGATAATTTGCCCCCAAAGTCGCCCGTATCCTGAGATCGTTAAGACTCTCCTCTCACTCTCTTCCGTTTTCTGACCTCCCACCTCCCCTTTCTTTCTCTCTCTCTCTCCCTTTACTCTCGTACCGATTTCCAGAGGCAAGCGCTTGTCTCTGCAGAAAAGAATGGACATGTTCCGAGATCTGTCTCGTTTCTCCTCGAGGATCGACTTTCTCAGAACGTGTCCGGTGTGAACCACGATCAGCGGCGTCGTATCAAAGAGAGCAAGAGTCTCTTCGTCTCCAAAGCCACCCTCGTTGCTACATAATTGATTTCGTTGGACTCGAATCCGCCGTCAGTCTCTACAACCATCGCGTAATAGCAATAGCTTAACTAGAATTGCCAGGCGTCCTGGATAAGGTGAAAGTAAATACATGTCACGAGTGTGCGCGCAGTATTTCTGTTTAATTAATTTAATTGCATTCCATACAGTATCTCTTAAAATATGATCTCCAATTTCTTAGGGTGCGTATGAGATAGTGAGAGGAAATAAATGTTTCACATAGGTTACGTATTTCAAAATTTCAAATTGAATCTTAATGGATAGATACAATGTTTTTCGTATTTACAGAATCGGAGTTTCGTTACGTTAATTTACGTATTAAACGTTGAGTTACAAATTGTCAATTGAACGGCAAAATTCAAAATATCCCAGGTGATAAATTTTACTCAATTAACACATCCGAGCAAGATATTTAACGTGTACTCTCTAAATTGGCGAATTTTTCTTCTTTAATGAAGGAGGATAAAGGAAGGATCCATAAACACCCGTCACATTCATAAGTCTTCTCGGTTATCCTTATCTCGTCTTCGGTGGGGGGAGCAGGGAGACCGAGCGGGATAACGTGTGTGAGAAAATCTGGGAGTCCGACATACGGAGGCGCGTAAAGACATCATAAATTAGATCCAGTTGCACCGGTACATTTTCAGGTATGGAGACTTAACTCTCTGCTTGGCCCCAATTCCGGTAATGGCGGCGGACGCCCCCGTCCCCCCGTCCCCCGGATTTAAGCCCGTGGGGCCTCTTATCTTAAATTTCCCGGTACATTGACAACCGGACCACACAGGGGCATAAAGTGCACCGATATATGCGCGCCGCGAACCGTCGCTCTCGCCTCTGATACCGCCGGGCCGCGGGACGGTAATTGAGCCGGCTTTAAAAAAACGGTACAGCGTGTGCACACAGGGGTCCGGGTTGGGCCCCCGATCTCACGAGGCGAAACATTCGACTTACTTACAGGCAGATTACATTATATTTTGCACCGGCGGACAGCGTAAGAACCAGCCGTTCCGTAAGGATCCCGACGTGTAAGTAATGGTGCTTTTTAACCAGCGCGCGTACGCGACTTACGAAGATATCGCCGCACGATAACGCGTTGCAACGTGCTCATCGTAATTTAGAGGGCAGATTCGGTTAGCGGCTAATAAAGTAAATCGAAATCCCTTAACCCGACGTGTTCGTCCGAAAAGCAGCAACGTTCTTCCTTCGTTTGGCTAGAATTTGCATTAGAAGTTCGAAGTTTTGACGAAAACTTTACATAAAACTTATACCTAATCTTTCTATTAAATTTTCTAATTTTATAACACTTATACACATAATTTCAGTTACTCGTATTTACAGTTTTTGTAAGCAAACTGTAATTAAGTTTTTGAATTAACTAACTTTTGAGATAATCTAATCATTACTGAAGCAACCGGTTTACGAAGAGCATTATTTTTTTTATTTTCTCGAGACGACCGAAATTAATTGTGATCGCGTAAGGCGTAGAAATGTGTTTCGCAAAAGGCTCGCGGAATTATTGCGTCGCGTCGATATAGCAACGTCTCGATTGCGTCTCTCGCGAAAAATCGTCGCTATATTTAGACCGAACGGCCTGTGGGCGTAACACAGAGATCGGGTCAGTGCAAGTCATACGTATTCCGCTCCCCGTATAGAGATTATGCGTATAATCCGAATGAGAATTAATAGTCGTTCCATATCGCAATATCGGATGATGATGCAAAACCAAATCAAAATGTCAGATAATAAAATAAAAATCAATCATCCTTTTATTCACAGCATAGAATACTGAAAGATAAATTTTGATATCATCATCAATAGTATCATCAGTAATCCTTTTCGAAATTTCTTGTTTTATCTAATACTGATTTTTTGTAAACATGATTAGGCTAATTGTTCTGCGATAGTTCTGCAACAGTTGCCCCATATCTTTTTAGTATGTTTAAATTAATAATAAAAATAAAATTCGAAAATACAATTATATATTATATGTATAAAATTTTGAGGAATAATATAAAACTCAAGGAAGATTGTATTCTCGGTATTGCAAATCGTTATTCTAGAAGTCCGTCCATTTTATAGATGCTATTTCAGATTTCAGATCTGATTATGACGCACAACGTATGCATCTTATGCGTATGTCGTATATATAAAGGAAGGTAAAATACGCAGAGGGTGGCACGGCGAGGCGGACACAGGCACGAAAAGAGGAAAAAAAAGAGGAAAAAGCACGAAAGCGTGCCGAGGGGTGCGCGAGGGGGAAAAAAAGTCAATGGAGACCAGTTGCTCGATAGGTGAGGTCTTTCCTCGACCACGCACAGGTGTGCAATCTGCGAGACTCCTTTGGCAAAAAGCCACACGCTCGCTTCGGCACTCTGCCCCGCGGCGGCTCGTTTGCGCATAGTATATAGGGTGTCCAGGTACGATCGCGCTGTCCTCGAAACGTAGCGCGAGAACTTGAGAGTTGTATTAAAAATCTGCCAGTTGACTATAAATTGAAATTTTTTTATCGAATAGATATATTAAAAGTCTATTGCACACACAACTGTGTATATATTATTTTTTTAAAAATAATTCTCTGTTTTCTGTT